GCCCGAACGGCCAAGACAGCAGGGGCCAGTGGAGGAGACCTGGCACAACACCCATTTCTATCCAAATTTTGTTACAGCCATTACAACTATAACAATTGTATCTTTATTTAAGTGTATCTATATAAATAAAATAAATAGTTTATATCTAATAAACCCACAGCGCATACTACTGCTGTTGGAAACAGGTCCTGAGTCTTGGCTACGTGAACCTAGGGGAGTCATCCCTGGGGAATCCTAGTCAGTAACTGACGGTGAAGGGACTTGGACCAGAATATCCTTAAGGATTCCCTCTGCACTAACATTTTATGAGCCTTGGAGAACTACATAACCCACGCAGCAGGTCCAATGTCCCGGCCCCTGGTAAAATTTCAGAACTAGTAAGATAGAGTGCTTTATAATAGAATTTTATCACAGTAACAAAAAGCATTCATCTTCTGGACTAAATTTTAAGGAAAACCTCTTGTGGAGTAATACATTCTTAAAAAATAAGGCCCCAATCATGTATGGAGTTTATTTAAAAATGAATTTCTTTAAAAAAAGCTTGTATGATGTATTACAAAATTACATTTTTTACATGAGAAATCTATAGTTCAGAGAAAATTCTTGTCTCCACAGAACTTTATGATTAGTTGGAGAGGGGCATGAAGGCCAGAAACCCGATGCCTCAAATAATGTGCCATCCTGAAGACTTTTCTGTTCCTTCCTATAGTTCTTGGACGTAAGGTTTCCTGGTGAAGCTTGAAAATGGTTTACTTTTGGGGTGCCTGGGCGGCTGAAACGGTTAAGTGGATGCCTTTGGCTCGGGTCATGATCCCAAGGTCCTGGAATCGAGCCCCGAGTCAGTTTCGTTGCTCAGCTGGGAGCCTGCTTCTCTCTCTCCCTCTGCTTTCTGCTCTGCCTACTTGTGCTCTATCAAATAAATAAAATCTAAAATAAGATAAAATGGTTTACTTCTCTTCTGGTAACAGCCCAGTTACCTGACATAGCTTGAAGTTATTTCTAGGTGTCTTTCAAACTTGAGGTCATGAAATCACTTGCACAAAATCAACTCACTGGGGTAACCAGCATTGTTTAAAAAAAAAAAGAAAACAGTGTAAAACACAATGCAGTTTCAAATCTATCTATCTATCTATCTATCTATCTATCTATCTATCTAATCTGTGTACATTCTGTGTTCCCACAGAAAATGTATTGGAAATTTGTGTGAAAAAAAAAAAATTGAAAGACCATTTTCAGGGGAACTTCTCCAGCTAGACTTTCTTTCTTTTTTTTTTTTTTAAAGATTTTATTTATTTGACAGAGACAGTGAGAGAGGCTAACACAGGCGGGGGAGGTGGGAGAGGCAGAGGGAGGCTTCCTGCTGAGCAGGGAGCCCGAAGCAGGCCTTGATCCTACAGGACCTGAGCTGAAGGCAGAGGCTAACGGAGCCACCCAGCTGCCCCTCCAGACTAGACTCTGAACTTTAATGACTCAGTTACTGCACACACTTCAACAGAGCCACTGCAGGGGAGCAGTCAGGTCCCAGCGTCATAAAACAACGGAGAGGCATCACCAACACTGGACAGAGGCTGTCCCCACCACGGGCGTGCAGCTGGTACAAGGTAGCAGGTGTTTACCTGGACCATTTGCTACAAATAGTTTTCATACAAGTAACTTCTACCCACCCAGTGGTAACTGACATGAAACAAAAGGCACATTTCTCAGTCTCTGCATTGCCCGGAAGAACTGTCAGAACCAGCGTGACAGTGATAGAAAAAGAATCTTGATAAAGACTTCTCCATGCAGTCAATCTTTATTATAGCAGTATTCGCATATTCACATCAAGTACATAGAACTTTTTGCCTTTTATATAATACAGAGTTTTTAAATAACTTTACACAGAAATAAATCTCTTCAATCTGAATTTGTTTTTTTAAATTCTCCATGCTTTCTATCCAAACTGAACAATATTTTCCATTGTACAAATTTACATGAGAAAAACTCCAAAGTACAAATGAAGGGACCTGAGCAGGAAAGAACCAAAGTATCAAGAAGTGGGTATGGGGGAGAATTAAAAAAAAAAAAAAAAGATTCAAGCAAACATTGAGGATTAAGGGACAACAGGGAGACATCATCCATTTGACTGAAAATAAATGTCTTTTTTTATGAATTGAAAAATAAGCTTTAAAAATAGTTACTCCATTGTAATTTTTGCAAAGCAGGTATAAAGAGGTCTCTGGACAATTTAAAAGTCCCCATTTTTTTTTCACTGGGCACACCCCAGACTCCATGAGAACCTTTTCAATGCTTGAGTGGAACTGAAGTGAACTAAACCCAAACCTTTGGCAGCGAGAGAGAGAGGAATGTGTGTGCGAATCGCCATTAGGTTTGGAGTGGGAAACCAGGAGCCATTAATTCACTGCGGTTAAAACACAAAGGATTTCCCTTTCAAGAGTTGTCCTCAAACCAAGAAGTAAATGAAAAGGGGGGTGTTTTCCTTTTTCTTGGTTTAAACCAAAGAGCAATCCTAAATACTGAACCAGGATTCAAAGGGACACAGGTTGAGGAACGGTCAAATTTCAATCCCCGATCAGCTGTGTGCTCCTAAGAAGGCCACTGCTGAGGGAGGAAAGGGTCAGAGGGTACAATCAACAAATGAGATCACCACAAAAACATACCACTGTGATAAGAGTCCTTTAAATCCGGCAATATCATGAAGGCCAAATCAAGACCATAACCTGTGGCATGGCCAAAGGAAGGACAGAGGACCCAATGAGTGCGTTTCCAAATGAAGGAGGGAAAGGGTACAGCACACACACACACACAGACAGACACCCACACACGCACACTCCATATGTAAACTAATACAACATGAAGATAAATAAGACATAAGGTTAGCCACTTATGTTGGTAATTAACATGAATAAAAAGGCGTTGTATGTTTACATAGCTGGTTTTAATCAGCTATGGAACATATACAAATGTATTAGGAAGGAATGTTTTTTTTTTAAAAACTGTTCACAGCTTAGAATAAAAAGCACACTTATTGCACTCTTACATTTTATTTCAGGTAATTATAGTTTATTTCCCACTGTCACATCAATTTCCCCCTAGCCCCAGACTTACGCCCACACCCTCCCACCTCCCATTTTGGTCCACTTTCTCTACATTTGTGCCTACTCTGTGAGCTTTGTTGCTTACGCTAGTCTGAAGTTTCTTCCACCAAGATACATGTGGGTTAAAAAAAGGCTTAACACACAAATGCAACACAGAATAATTTTCAACACAAACTCTACTAAGCAACTTACAATCCCCCATCCCCACCCCTGTAAACAGAGCCCTTCCCTGCTGCATCTCTTTAGCCAACTTCCTTCCCAGTTCCCTACAGACAGTGAGGACAGCTAGCTGATCCGGAGTGCGGGACAGGGAGCTCAGCCTGCCTGAGACCAGCAGATGGTTCGCACAAGTCTTGTTTTTGATGCTAACACGAATAAACAGATTTTAGTTGTTTGCCAAGAGTACATCAATCTACAAAATTCTTAAAAAACAAACCCCTCAA